AAAAAGTGGTATCGGTGCATCCCTACTGGCAACCATGTGTACGCGCTCTCTCTCTCCACTGTGGATAAACGCGCTTGCTTTCTGAAAACACCGGTAAGCTTGCAGTTTAGCGATCTCCACTTCAATATTCTATTCTCAGAAATGTGTTATTCATCAAGTGTTCATTTATAAGAGAGAGAGAGTCTGTGTATGTATGAATTACCACAGTTTTGCCACGTTTCTCTATTAACAGTGAAGCTGTGTCTTTAATTCCTCTAGAAACAATGTTACCAGCTCATTGTTGAGAAAGATAATGTAGCTCTTGAACGATTAAGCTATTTAGTTGATAAAATTGCGGGTTTGTCTTCATGAGGTAAATGTAACATTGAGTGTTTTATTACGATTACATGATAATACATTTCAGTAAGATGTATCTTTCTTTCACTATACTCTCTGTAATTATAACTTGTAGCAAAGCAGAAGAGATGATCAAACGTACACGCGCTCCACGCTGCCAAACTGGCAGATACAGTGATCTGTGTCACACCAGTGTTTCCCCTGCCATTATATTAGGGGGGGCGGCCATTTAAAGTTATGTCATTTAAAGTTATGATGCGCGCACACACAAGTGAACACTCCCACTCCCACTAGTATTTGTAAATATTAACCCGCAAAACGACTATTTAAATATGAATTCTGTGTGTGTACGTGTTAATGAATGGCGCAGACGTGCGGTTTTGTTTACTACTTGTACTGAAGCGCGCGTTACGCTTGCGGTGATATTAATGTCTGCAGTCTCACTAACGAGGATATAAATACATGAACATCTCCAGAACTGCTCTGAGAGTCACTTCATGAGCATTTGACCGTTTCATTTGAGTAAAACTATCCTCATATCATATAAACACAGGAGTAGGCATGGGCCGATTACCGGTTTCACGGTATACCGCGGTTTGAAAATGTCACGGTTTCAAAACCGCTAATATTTTCCGTTATACCATTCCTGCGGTATGCGCTGTTTTTCATGTCTCCTCAAAGACTGAAAGTGTAGGAATCCCTCAGGTTGAGTGCAGTGTAGAGAGTAACACGACCCCTCCTCCTCCTGTTGGTGCGAGCGAGCTGTCAGCCATGTGTGTGTAGGATGGCTTCCCCTGGAACTTACGCGATCGGCAACCGGCCGTTTTTTGTCTTATTGCAAGCAACTCGCAATCGTTTTCCAAAATGTCAAAAGTTTACGTGGTATTTTCTTTTAATCTCGTCTCTGTATAGTTCATATTAAAGCAGTGTTTCATTGCAGCAGAAATACACTATTGTTCAGTAGAATGTTACACGTAATAGGCTACTACTACTAAAAT